GAGCCCCGAGCCCCCGCAGAACCGAGCGCGGCTCCCACCTGCGATGGCCGGGGCCGCCTCCGAGCTCCACCGCCGCCTCACCGGTTGTTATCAATGAAATTACAATTTTGACAACTAGGTCCCTTGGGTTAATGGCAGTTTAATTAAAAATGAATGCAATTTCGTAAATTGAACAGTCATTTGCTATAAAAGTATACAGTTTAGTAAAACAACATAATTTAGCAAGAAATTACAATTTATATATATAATCTGCCAGTAATTAAGTATGATTAAAGTATAAGCAAAACCTACCGGGGTACAGGGAGGGTTTATCACCCCACCTCACGTACAAAACCGACCGGGGTACGGAGGGGGTTCCCCACCCTGCCCCACGTAGAAAAAACAAAGCACTTCAAGCTAAACTTATATACTGTATGCTTATACATACTCATTCGTGTTTCCCATAAGTTTCCTCCTATTTCCCATTTTTCTGACTTTACGTCACTTTTCTTCACGGCACATGCCTCACTTGTTGTTAGGGGGTCTTCAGTCTTCTTTTGGTGGTCTTTTGGCGAAGGCTTCTCCTCTTCCTCGTTGTCCTTTGCATAACCTTACAGGTTTGTGCGTGCATACTAAGCATCATGTTACGTAAGTCTACTAATTAGTCTGATATTTTCTGATTTTCAGGCCCAATACCTAAAATCATTCTAATTTTGTCCATCTCAAGGCCGTTTTAGCCTTGAGACATCATTTATTTTCCAAACTACACCCTGTACCTCAATTTTAACATGTGACATCTGTAAAGGGGTACATCTGCCTCGTAACACTGGTTCTTTTGATTGCTTCTAATAATAACTTTCCAAATCGTTACAATTTAGTTAGCACAAATCAATTCCATTTATTACAAGATGAATTCCCTGGAATTCCCCTTTCCTCCCGTCTCTCTTTCCCGTCTCCCAAACTGCGTCCCTGGGATCCGCCTGCCTCTCCCCGCCCCAGCTCCCCTTTCCCGTGACCCAGGGATCCCCTGGACCCCCATTCCTGCCTTTCCCAGCTCCCAGACCCCGCTCTCCTCAACCCCAGGGACCCATGGACCCCCTTTCGTGGGCACAGGGACTCCCTGGATCCCCCATCACACCTCTCCCAGCCCCTTCCTTGAACCTTGGACCATTCCCGGCTCTCCCGGTTCCGCTTCCTAACCCCCCCAGTCTCTGCGTCCCCCCAGTTCTTCACCCCCTGCTCATCCTGTATGGGGGTCCCAGGGGATCCGGGAGGGTCCCTGGGGTGTTGTGTAGGGTCCCAGAAGGGGTTCTGGGCCTTGGGACCCCCCCTGAGTTTCCAGTCCTGAGCACTGGGACCCCACCCCTGCACTCCTTTATCCTGTACCAATCCCCCCCCCCGCACCCCCTTTCCCATTCATCCCGCCTTTCCCAGTCTTCAGACTCCTCCTTTTCCTTCACTCTGAGACCCGCCCCAGACCCCAATTCCTGCTTTTCTCAGCTTCCACCCTCCTCTTTCCTCTGCATTAAGGACCCCCGAGCCCCCCATTCCAGCCATCCCAGGTCTCCCCACCTCGTGATCTTTTTCCTTGGCACTGGGGAGCCCTGGACCCCCTTTCCTGGGCACAGGAACCTGCTGGAACCCCCACCCCACCTCTCCCAGTCCCTGCACCCCCCCTTCCATAACCCTGGAACCCCCTGAGCTCCTGGACACCGGGACCTGTCTGCACGTCCTTTCCTGTCCACCCCACCTTTCCCACCCCTCGACCCCCCTTTCCTTGGCCCCAGGATCCCCAAACCCCTTCCTGGCTCTCCCAGTTCCCCTTTCATTGATCCATGACCCCCTCAGCCCCCCCAAATCTCCGTGTCCCCCCAGTTCTCCACTCCCTGTGTTACCTGGATGTGGCGGTGTCAGAGCCCAGCCTGGGGGTCCCCCAGTTCATGTCCTTGGGGTTCATGGATGGGATCCTCTTCACACGCTACGACAGCGAGCAGGGCCAGGTGGAGCTACAGACACAGTGGATGGAGGATGGAGCTGAGCAGGGATATTGGGAGAGCCAGACCCAGATCGCTGTGAGGAACCAGCACATAGTTGCCAGGAACCTGAAGACGCTGCGGCACCGGTACAACCAGAGCAGGGGGATCTGTGTGGCTGGGATGGGATCTGTGGGGCTGAGATGGGATCCATGGGGCTGGAATGGGAATTGTAGAGCTGGAATGGGGGATCCTATGGGGATGGGACCTGTGCAGCTGGAATGGGAACTGTGGGACTGGGGTGGATAGCCGTGGGACTGGGATGGAGGTCCATGGGGCTGGGATCTATGTGGATGGAATGGGATCTGTGGGGCTGGGGTGGGGGATCTATGGGGCTGGGATGGGATCTGTGGGGCGGGGACACAATTCCATGTGTCTCTGTGGGTACAATCCCCCCAGGTCTCCACACCTCACAGTGGCTTTACGGCTGTGACCTCCTGGACAATGGGAGTGTCCGTGGATCCAGCCGGTACCGCTACGACGGGCGGGATTTCATCTCCTTTGAGCTGGGATCCAAGAGCTTTGTGGCGGCCGACGACGCTGCTGAGATCACCCGGAGACTCTGGAAAGAAAAAGGGAATGTGGCTGAGGGGCGGGAGAATTACCTGAAACACGTCTGCCCAGAATGGCTCCGGAAATACGTCGGATATGAGCAGAAAGAGCTGGAGCGCAAAGGTGGGTGGGAATTTGGGAATGGAGCACTTGGGAACGTGATAATTCCTGTGGGAATTCCATGAACAGACACCACCCCCATCCCATTCCCATGCAATTCCATGCATGAGTTCCACCATTATCCCATTCCAGTGGTCCCTGACGTCCATGTGTCCGGAAAAGAGGAACATGGGACACTGATCCTATCCTGCCACGTGTACGGATTCTATCCCAACACCATTGCGGTCAACTGGATGAAGGGGGGTGAAATCTGGGATCAGGAGGCGGAGTGGGGCGGGATCGTTCCCAACAGCGACAGCACCTCCCACACCTGGGCCAGGATCGAGGTGCTGCCGGAGGAGTGGGAGCAGTACCGGTGCCGGGTGGAGCATCCCGGAATGCTGGAACCTGGGATCTTCACTTGGGGTGAGGCTGGGAATGTGGGAATTGGGGATTTGGAACCCTGGAATGGGGATTCCACTTCCCCTCCTCACTATCCCACGTTTCCCAGAGCCGACAGCTGGCGGGAATCTCGCCATGGTGATCGCTGTGTCCATCACTGCTGCCATCCTCGTCCTTGTCCTCATTGGATTCGGTGTCTGGAGGCTCCAATCCATTAACACATGGGATGGGGGTCGGGAAGGAGCACAGATCCACCGGGCCCCGTTCTGGGAATGCCGCCACCCACACTGATCCCACTGTTTTTCCACAGGGAAGAGGGACAGGAATGGATACAACCCGCCAGCCAGTGAGTTCCAGTGGTGGATCCAGCTCTGAATCCCCTCTTTGTGCATCCCAGGGTGGATCCTGGGGTTAATCCCGGTGTGTGATCCATGCTGGAATCTCACGGATCTTCTCTTTCTGCAGGAAGGGACATGGAAATGAATGTCTGAACCACATTTATGGAGCAGGATTGGGGTAGGATTCCAGAGGGGGATCGGGGCAGGATGGACGGACTGGGATCAGGGAGGGATTCCAGATCAGAGCAGGGATCCAGAGCAGGATCAGATGGAATTGTTGAGAGGGATGGGTGCTGGATTCTGGAGCAGGATCAGGTGGGATGGATGGAGCAGGATTGGTGTGGAATGGATGGAGCGGGATCAGGGCTGGATTCCAGACAAGAATCAGGTGGGACGGAATGGAGCAGGATTGGGGGAGCAGGGATGGGGTGGGATCAGGTGGGATTCTGGATCAAGGCAGGATTCCAGTGTGGGATTAGTTGGGATGGATGGAGCAGGATCAGGTTGGGATTCCCAAGAGGGATTGGGGTGGATGTGGCAGGATCAAGTGGGATGGATGGAGGGATGGATGGATGGATGGATGGATGGATGGATGGATGGATGGATGGAGAGAGAAGGATTGGGTGGGATGGATACAGTGGGATCAGGTGGGATTATTGGGGCAGGATCAAGTTGGGACTCCAGAGAGGGATTGGTGCGGGATGGATGGAGTGGAATCAGGGAGGGATTTCAGTATGGGATTGGGTGAAATGGATGGAGCAGGATTGGGGTAGGATCAGGTGGGATGGATGGAGCAGGATTGGTGCAGAATGGATGAAGCAGGATTGAGGCAGGATCAGGTGGGATTCTGGAGCAGCTCCTGCTCCCCATGGGCTCCAGCCAGGTCCATCCTGTGGAATGGGGACAGGGACAGGGTGATACCGTGACCCTCTCTCATCCCAGCGGGAATCACCACTGGAGCGATCCACGGAGCTGGATCTGGCCCTTCCCCTCTTCCCAGGAAAGCCGAGAGCTGCCAGCAGAGCTCATCCCACTGCTGCCACCCACCCCACAGCTCTTGCTAACAGATCGATTTCCTGTTTTCCAATGTTTTAGAGCCAAAACCCACAAATATTCCTGATGCTTTAGTTCTGGTGTGAAATTATCCTGCTTGGGGCAAGGTTCCTCCTCCAGTGTCCAGCAGTTCCTCTCTGGGAGCCTGGGGTGGGAGTGGGGACACTGGGGACAGGGATGGGACACTGGCGACAGTGATGGGGACTCTGGGGACAGGGATGGGACACTGGGGACAGGTTTGTGACACTGGGAGCAGGGATGGGAACAGCAGGAATGGGAATGGGGACACCAGGAACTGGGGTGGGGAATCCAGGAACTGGGGTGGGGACAGCAGGACCAGGATGGGGCACCAAAAATGGGAATAAGGACACCAGGAGAGGTTAGGGACATCAGGAGCGGGTTGGGGACACCAGGAGTGGGTTGGGGACACCAAGACTGGCTTGGGGACACCAGGAGCAGTGTAGGGACGTGCCACTCATGCCCAGCTCCATCCCCCAGGATTCATTTCCCATGCCGTGTCTCATGTCCAAAGTGTCCCCAGAAGGGTTTGGCCACACTGGGCTCATGGAGGGGCAGTGGGATAGGGGGAGGGGTCGACCAGGCCTCGCTGTCCCCAAGTGTCCTTGAATGTCCCAAAATTGGTACTTGGGATCACAGAGAGGTTCCCTGGCCATGACCATGGCCATGACACGAGCACAAGATGACCGTGAGATGAGAGTGACCATGAGTGACACAACCCTGAGATGACCATGACCATGGGATGACCATGACTGTGACCATGACCATGACCACGGCTGTGACCATGACCAGGAGATGACCGTGACCATGACACAACCAGAACCCTGACCATGAGATGATTTGGACCAAGAGATGACCATAGCTTGGCCATGGGACAGCCATGGCCTTCAGGTGACCCTGACGTGATCGTGGCCATGAGATGACCATGAGGTGACAATGACATGATCATGAGATGGCCATTACAGTGAGATGACCATGAGCATAAAATGATGGTGATCAGGAAATGACCGTGACCATGAGACAACCACAAGATGATCGTGACAATGATATGACCATGAGATAACCATGACACCACCATGGCCATGAAATGATGAAGGCCTTGAGATGACCTTGACTGTTACCATGACACAATCTTGACCAAGAGGTGACCAAGAGGTGACCACACCACACCATGGCTGTGTGGTGATCAAGACCATGAGATGATCATGACACAACCATGGCTGTGAGATGATTGTGACCATGAGGTGACTATAAGATGACCATGAGAGGACCATGACCATAAGATGATGGTGATGATCATAACTGTGGGAAATAAGAAAACCCTTACAGAATAAGGGCCTTTCCCACCTTTGTTAAATCCTGGTCACTTCCATTCATTTTTGTTCCCCAAAAAGCACTCTGGGAAGGGTTCAACTGCAGGTCAGATGGTCCAAGAGTGGGCTGGTGGTCATCTCATGGGTGAGGCAGTGATTGGCTGGGGAGATGCGTGGCCACCACACGATCAGAGAGCTGATTGGGTAAAGGGACACATCAACAGCAATACCACAGTGGCTGGCAGCCAATGTGTGCTTGTTTTGGTTTAGTTAAGTTTTGTTAATTTGGGTTAGGTTTAGTTAAGTTTGGGTCAGGTTTGGTTGAGTTAAGTTTGGGTTAAGTTTGGGTCAGGTTTGGTTAAGTTT